ATGTCATTGCTCGGGATTGGTACCTAGAGCTGCCAGACATGGTTCGTCATATCATCGACGAGGCCGGCTTCGACATCTTCTGCAGGGGGCTCTCCCGGCTTACGACCTGCAAGCCCTTGCTTGCCGCTTTAGTGGAGAGGTGGTGGGAAACCACCAACTCCTTCCACTTCTCCGTCGCGGGGGACATGACGATGACCCCTTATGATTTCTCGATGCTCACCGGCATCGGGGTAGGGGGTATTATATATATTGGGCATATTCTAAAGTTGTGGCCTTGGATCAATTTTTTAGGATAAAGGAACCACTTTATGTCTAATGCCCATAACATTTTCCTCCTTAAATGCTGAGTCTTCCGAGATCATTTCATCCTGGGAGATAGACGTCCAAATTCTGAAAGCACCGTGGAGATGACGAATCTGTCTTAAGGACACAGTGTTAAACACTGGACTTGATCAGAAAAGTTATTCAAATAAATTAACCAAGTAAGTTGTTTAATTTTATTCTGTTTTTTATTTGTTTATTTAATCAGATTTTATTTTTGTTTTTGTAACAAAATAAAATCTGTGGTTTTATTTATTTATTTTTATTTCGAGTTTGATTTTTGTAATCAAACAAATTCTCTCATTTTCTCTTTTCTTTTATTCTTGTTGTTGTTTTGTACACAACAGAATTTAATCATTTTAAATACAGTGAAGATTGTCCAACACAAAATTAGTGGTCTCTATCATTGTTGATTGTGGCATGATAGGTTATTAGTTGGTACTTTCACTAGGATTAATAATCATTATTTGCACCAAAATGTAGTCAAGCATTTTTATTAAAAAATGTATTTTTTTTTTTTTCAAGATAAGTGACAAGCACTCCCATCACCTAAAGTTCAAAACAATGGTTCATCAATGGTAATAAACTAATCTTTAAATATAAAGATGAATATGTCTTAATCTGATTTCACCGACCAAAGTCCAAAAGGGGGTTTCAATGGGTCCTTATATAGGGTTATTTAGAGAAGTAAACCTAGACAGGAACTTATACCAGAATCCAAAGATATATCTCAAAGCAAGATCCCTCTTTAGTTTCTGCTGTATTCTCCCTACTTGTTCAAAAAAAAAAAAGAAAAAAAAGCAAGATCCCTCTTTCTTCATCTAAGGGTGGGGGAAGGGCTCTCTTTATAGCACTATAAACCATATTTTTTCATATTTTATTTTGTAAGTCACATTCTCGAATAATTTATCTCGTAAATCTTGTAATAAAGTTCATTTGTATAAAAAAATTAATTTTATTGAATATCGATGAATAGATGAACAAATTACAATTTATTTTATAAAATGAATGGTTAAAATTTAAACTCATAATTCATTTCTTTTTTCTAAAAAAAATATAATTTGTTCATGTGTCTAAAGATACCTGATGAAACTGATTTTTTACACAACTTATCACTAGAAGGTTTACAAAAATAAATGATTTAAATCATCATTATAAGCCTAAAGTGGAGCCGCAAAATAAAATATGAAACAATATAAAGGATAATAGCAAGATAAGCCAACCCCAAAAGGTGCGAGTCTATTCAAAATTTTCCTTTTTAACTTTGGCAAGCAAAAGAACGGAAGGAAAGTGAAATAATTTTTTTTGAAAAGTCACCCTCCAAAAGTCTTGTTTGTGAGAGGCAAATAATGCAAGGCTTAAATACAGGAGAAAAAAAAAAAAAACGAAAACAAGAAAAAAGAAAAAAGAATAGTGATGAAGATGATATTCCACTTTGAATTGTATAGGTATCTGCAATGGTATTCCTAGCTATGTGACAAATCCATGTCCAAGTGCAGAAGAAAGAGATTAGAATAAAAAAACATCCCACCTTCAAACAAATCCCTATTCCTCATCCCCAGGATGGGCAATAATGCTCTATTCATATAGGATGTAACATTGTACTTTATATATACATAAGTTTATGTTATAGGTTCATACATATATAAATATAGTATAGTTTTCTAGTTTTATTGAACAAATTGTAACCGTGGTCTATATAATTTGTCTCTTATATCAATTTGGTTCTTATTATTTTAATTATATTATTTTTTTTAATTTATCATATTACGTCATTTTAGTCTAATTGATAATATATGTAAAGAAATTAGACAAAATCAAGGGCCAAAAAATTATTCAAATGGGAATTGATCGATTTAAATTGGATACATATCAATTCCCCATTCACTATGAGAAGAGTGAATGAACTATTTTGCCAATTGATTTTAATCTAATTTCAAAAGTGCATTATCTATTAGACTATTGATGTGAGGTAAAAAATTGAAGGAAAAAATTGATACAACTATAATGATAAAGAGTAAGTGGCCATTTGTGATTTGCTATTTTATAAATTTTTGAATTTTTTTAGTAGTTGTTTTTAGTTAACAAAAATGTTAAAGATTCTAAATTTTGTACCAAACACTCACACATGTGGTAGAAATTTTGGATCCCTAGCATTGCTATTTAATTAATGCGCTTAAGAGGTTGTTAAATTTTTTTTATTTTTTATTTTTTTGTAAGTAAAAAAGTTGATGTGATAATTAAAATTTTAACTGATGACAATTGATTTAAAGTTATTTTGGAAAATTGATTAAAAGTTGATTTTTTAACTTTTTTTTAAAAAAAATATAAAAAAATATAGAAGTGATGTAATTCAAAATAGGCTAAAAGTCAAAATTATGAAATTCTATTTCCACACATCTCTTTATCTCAATGCACACACTTACTGAAACTTTATTTCAATGAAATGATCATAATGGATATCAAAATCTTAGCCAACCCATCTCATCTCATCTATCTCTCTCTCTCTCTCTCTCTCTCTCTCTACCACCAACAACAATAAACAAACCCACAACCCCTTTTGTTTTCTTCCTCTCTCTCTTTAGAATCAAATCAATTTGTTTCAGTTACAAATCAAAAACATAATAACGTAGAGGAAGACGATAACAACAATCAAACGGTATCTTCTTCCTCATCATCATCGCGTTTGCTGCCGTGGTCGCAAACCCACCAGTTTGATTTTCCAACGAGCTTTGCTTTCTAGGAAAGCCCTTTTCAAAAAATTATTACCTTTTTTTTTTTGTTGGGGAAATCGACTGTCAAAATTATTATTTTTGTTCAAAAAATAATTTTAATAAAAAGAGACAACTTCGAGACAATAATTACAACGGACACAATTCAAAATCATCGTATTGAATGAAACAACATCTCTTTTAGACATTTTATCAAACACTAGATGAGCAATAAAAAACTGATCGCATTTACAGTATAGACTTAGAAGCTTGTTCCATAAAGAGATAAACCCATCAAAATCAAGCTTTGGAAGTAGGGTATAGATAGATAAACAAGTCTGGAAGTCTTTGAAATCAGTGCATTCTTGCAATATATGGCTCAAATGGTGCAATTCAACAGGAGTGGAGTGCTTGAAATGAGTTTATGGCCCGTTCGGTAGAGTTGTGAGAAAGTGATTATAACTTATATATTAACAGCTTATAGCTTATAACTATGAACATAAACTGATTTTTGACTTATAAATTAAGCTTCTCCTCCCCCACTTAAAGAATAAGTTGATTTTTGACTTACAAAAAGCTATAAATTGTATTGTTAAGTTGAACCAAACACATCAAAATAACTTAAATTAAGCTAAAAGCTGAAATAAGCTCTACCAAACAGGGCCTATGTCAATAGCATTGGTTAAGGTGGAGATGGTACCAAGACATTGATACATAGACAAGAGGAGATTGTGGTGAACGCAAGAGTATCTATCATCTTGTTAAAGGTTATAATTGAAATATGTGGTATGTGTAATGAGATAAATAATACCTAATTAAATTTATAAGTGTGTGTACTAAAAAATGATGTGCACTGAGGTATGTAGGTGTGTGAAAGTAGAATTTTTCGTCAAAATTTGGCTTTTAGCCATCTTCTCAAAAGAGTTATTGGCTTTTTGATTTTTTTAGTTTGACGTTTTTTCTTTAATTGTCAAACAACCTCTAAATTAATATGATATTTAACTATAGGCACCACTCCATTTTCTTATATATATATATATATATATAAATTGTGATGACATGAGATGAGTTAGGATACCTTAAAGTGGTAGGTGTGGTTCCTTAATACGCTCATACTTGGATGAATTTATAATATCTAGGGTAAATTATCAACACTCCCCTTAAGATTTGACTAAAATATGGATTCCTCTCTAAGGTTTGAGAAATTATATCCCGCCCTTAGAGGTTTATATTTGCATAACAAATTGCCCTCTCATTTGTTATGCAAATATAAACCTCATGGGAAAATTTGTAATTTTCCAAACCTTAGAGGGAATTCGCATTTTAGTCAAATTTCGAGGGAGGTGTTGATAATTTGTCCTAATATCTACATATGTTGGAGGTTATGATGTCTATAATATGTGGTTTCAAGTCAGAGGGACATTCCCAACAACCTAATGTCCATTGTCTACTTCATTGCCACATCAAATTAGCATATAGTTTGAGGTTACATAAAACTTGTAATTTCATACATTCATATATTAAGATGTTTGATAAGAAAGAATTATTTTTAAGAGATTATCAAATTCATAGTCTTTCGGGATGTATGTATACAAAATTCTTATTCTCATTATGCCCTTACGCTATATCTTAACCTAACCCTCTCTTTCTGAATTCAAAGGGCAGGTTTGATTCACTTTAAAAAAATGGGATAAGACTGTTTTATTTTAAAATATAATTGTTCTCTTGGTTCAAGTTTTGTAATACAAGAAATCCTATTTTGAAAGCTATTTTTATCCGGTATATTTGAGGTTATTTTATTTTAGGGAGGAGTGAGACAACTTATTTTGAGATAATTTATGGAGGTAATTTATCCTATAATTCTATCATGATTACAATGCTAAGATTATGTGTACTATCTTCTTTTTTTTTTCGATACTTCGGAAATTAAAACAGAACAAAACAACAAAGGCAAAAGGGGCAGAGAGGCTAGATCCTCTGATACGCTGTGCCCATCATATCCGCTACAATAAAACTTCTAACTTCTGGTGGAGGTCCCTCTATAACAAACAGATGCTCCACTTGATTTGTATCCATATTGGCGAGCTTGTCCGCACATTGGTTGGCCTCTTGCATAATGTGTTGGATGGAACAATTGCACCGCTGGAGGAAGTGACGGGCATCTTCCACAATGGCTCTATACAGGCAGTTTGGGGGTGGCCCATCTATGATCATCTCTTGGGCTATGGTGGAGTCAGTCTCAATGACAATTTTGGCAAGACCTTTCTCGAGCACTATGGGAAGACCTCTGTAGATGCCCCACATTTCCGCTTCCAGGCTATAGCATGTCTCTAACTTCCCAAAGATTATGTGTACTATCAATAAAAGGTTATGAGTATAATAATTTTTGGAAAAATTACATGCAAGTAGTTCTTACATAAAAATAATTAAAGATCTATAAATAAATAAAAAAGTTTATACCTTTAATTATTAATGTTCATAAAAATTATCATTTATTTAAAAATATTTTTAAAACATTAGACTGAATTGTAATTTCACCATGATTCTTTTTGGCTTTGTTTGGAAAGAAAGGTTGGGTTGGATTTGGGACTATTTTAGGCCTCGTTTGGGAACAGGCTAATTTAGTAATTTTTTGATTATTTGGTTAAAATATGAGCTAAAAAAAACTAGTATGTTTGGAATGACTTTTTGATTTTTATGAAAAGATGTGCAAAAAGTAGAGAGAAAACAAAATCTTTGATTTTTTGGTATGGGTTGTTGGCTTTTTGATTTTTTTAGTGACTTTTTGACTTTTTAGCTAAAAAAGTCACTTGCCAAACGAGGCCTAACAAAAAAATAAAATAAGTGTTTTCGCTCAATAAGATAAAACATTACATCCAACTTATAATCATTACATTCTTTCTCTCACAAAAAGTCAAAAGTTAAAAAGTCTTTTCCAAACGAGACTTTTTAATCTCAGACTAAAATATTTAAAAAAATCAAAAAATCAATTCATTTCCCAAACGAATTCTTTGTTAGTACTGAAAAAGACTTCTAACTCTTTATTAAACTGCAAAACCTTTTTTTTAGGGGGGGGACCAATGAAATTTTGAAAAAGTAATTATATATTAATAAAAAAAGTTTTTAATTTTTATTATACCTATTGATAAAGTTTATCATTTGTAATTACTTTTTGAAAAGACCAGTGATTTGATTTTTATTTTTTTTGAGAAAATAATTACACAGTGGGTGCATGTTTTTGTATTTTTTTAAAATAATTTTTGCTGCATTCATGGTGCACAGTTATTTTCTTCTTTGATGGAGTACTACCCAAATAAGTAACAGCAATGTTAGAGGGTCATAAAATTAGTGATTTAAATGGCTTAAAACTGTCAAAACAAGGTCATTTTGAACACAAAACGACGCAAAATGACGTCATTTTGACAATTTTGAGCCATTAATTTTGTGCCCCTCAAACATTTTCCTATAAGTAATAAATAGGCCAATGTTGAGTCATGAATTGTTCCATCAACTACAGTGCGTACAGAATGCAAAACAGTGTTACTTCATTCAAGATCCAAATGCTCCTTCAGAAATTGTTTGGTGTGTTTGATTTGCTTATGAGAGAGTGATTTTTTAAAAAAAATTTGAGGAGAGAGTTTAAATTTTTTTTTTGATTTATTTAGTTGTATATTTTGCAAGTAGTTTTGGAATTTGGGAGTTTGAGATGATTTCATATTTTGTTGTAATTGAGTAAATGTGTGCGAGAGAAAAAATGATTAAGAAAGAGAGAGGAGAGAAAAAGTAATTGATTGATATTTAAGAGAGATAAAGTGATTTTGAAATTTTTTTCAGAAAAATCACAAACCAAACAAAATTTTGAATTTTTTTTTTAAAAATAACTCTTCCAAAATCAAACCAAACAAACCCGTTGCGTTTGGCATTCTATTCGGTTTGTACTTGTGGTTTATCGGTAGGAATCTAATTAAAGTAAAACCCAATTTTTGTTATATTTGAATCTTAATATATATATATTACGAGTTATTTTATAGATTGAAATTACGATATTAAAATAACTTCTTGTTTAAGATGATATTAAGAGATAACTCTGTTATTTGTAATAGCTCCTTTTTCGATAGTAAAATTCTTAATCATTCTTCATCCATAAACATAGGTTAATAATTGGACCATGTGTATAATTTTAAATTAAAAAATAAAAAAAAGGAAAAGATACTGCATAGCACGGGTCCTAACAAGAGTGTCTTCTAATCCCTTCTTTTTCTTTTTTAATTTATGAGGAACTTCTTCAAAATAAAACTACATTAAATTCATTTTTGCACCAAAGTTCATGTGACGTGACAATTATGTCACTCTAGGGTACCCCTATAGAGCTTACCAAATGTAAAGAACATCAATTGGACAAACTATTGGAAGACAGCATTTGAGAGATCCATACTAAAAACTGTCCCTACATTGAGGGGTCATTTACTTCACTTGAAGTTGGCTATTGTTGGTTGGAAGGGCACCAAAGAGGTCTGGTGTGTACAATGCTAGTTGTTTCTAGAGTTGCATATGGTAGTTTTTTCAAGGTTTGCATAATATTAAATTATTTATTTAAAAAAAGAAAAAGAAAAAAAAGATTAGAGTGCTTAAGCCATGCATGACCAAATCCTATGACTGTATTCAAATCATGAATTTGGTTAGAAATTTAGAACTAAAATGAGAAAAAAAAAGGTAAAATGTGAATAAAATATAATTAAATTTCACTTATATTTTACTCATAATTTTCTTTTTCTTTTCTAAATCCATACTCAAATCAATGATTCAAACACAACTTATGTGATTGTTTAAATCTTGAATTTGAAGAGTGACATGTAAAGAGAAAAATAAAAATTGTGATACTCTTTTATTTTTTTTTGGTCAATTGAGTTGTTCTCCCTTTTCACTGGCCCATTCCTCGTCATGAACTTGTACAATCGATTAGTCAACTCTATATTATCGAAGAAGTAAGAAAATGTACGATGATTTGGTATCAGATATCCGGAGGTGTGTTACAAAAAAATAAGTTAATTAGTTTTTTTCACATTTTTCCTTTTTTATTAATTTTTCTTTTTTCGCTCCACAAATTATTCCCAAAATTATTATATCCAAACACAACTTAAATTAATCTTTGAAGTGAATTAGCCAGTTTTAATTTACTATAGGCAATAACAAGCTTATAATTGGTTTGCAATTTTCCAAAGCACAACCATGGATTTGGATATGAGACAATGTTGTGGTCATCATAAGACTATAAAGATGAATGAATGAATAATTTCACTGCTGATTGGAATCTATATGACAATATGTGAGAAAAGGTAAATTGATTTCTAGGAGAGAGTGTGAGAGAGATGGATTAATTATTTTATGATTTTGAAAACTACATAGAATATAAAACTATTGTTTCACCAACTATTTGCAACTTTTTTGGTTGGCATTGAGTTCAAAAGGTAAAATCATGACTATGCTCCACAAAAAAGGTGAAAAGAGTATTTTGAGTACTTCAATTTGCAAATCATATGTACGACACACCTTCACATTGGTGTCTCAAAGGTGGGGGTCTATATGTAACTATGCCACTTCATCTTTTGTCACACTCATCGTCACCTTGTTTGGCATTCAGTTAAAAAAATTATATACTATTTCTTTTCAATTTTTTTTATTTTTAATATATATTTTTTCAAATTATGTTAAATTTATGTTAAATTTATTTTCAGTGAATTTTTTCTAGATTTTATTTTATTTTATTTTTGTTTTTACTTATTTGTTCTTCTAGTCGATTATATTCTAAAATATAAAGGTCATGTTTGCTTCGATTTTCTGACACTAATTTTAGAATTCTTTCTGAAAAAATAAAAATTAATTTGATAAAAATAAACATCAAAAAAATGCTTTTAAATTTTAAAAAATTATTCTACCCTTCCAAAAGATAAAATTATATAAAAATAATAAGTGTTTTTTTATTTTTTCACCAAATTAATTATATATATTTTTTCAAATTATGTTAAATTTATGTTAAATTTATTTTCAGTGAATTTTTTCTAGATTTTATTTTATTTTATTTTTGTTTTTACTTATTTGTTCTTCTAGTCGATTATATTCTAAAATATAAAGGTCATGTTTGCTTCGATTTTCTGACACTAATTTTAGAATTCTTTCTGAAAAAATAAAAATTAATTTGACAAAAATAAACATCAAAAAAATACTTTTAAATTTTAAAAAATTATTCTACCCTTCCAAAAGATAAAATTATATAAAAATAATAAGTGTTTTTTTATTTTTTTATTTTTTCACCAAATTAATTTTTAATTTTTGAGAAAAAAATTTGAAAATAAACCAAGCAGAGCTTTTTTGTTTTTTTAATTCACTGAAGTAAAAATAAAATAAAATCACTAAAAAAATTAACAAAAAAAAATATTAAAAAAATCAATTCCAAACGCTCATTCTATACTTTCTTCCACCATGTTTGCAACTATTTTTTATTTTAGGCACTAGGTAAAAATCATTTGGGATCACAGGCAATCACTACTCCTTTAATTTCAACTATTACATCACAGAGGGATTGGAATTCTTGTCTCAAATTACTTGTCGTGTGCTCTTTCTCAGACTTGTATGATATAGCAAATTAATTAATCTTAATTTTAATTTAAAATATGTCATATCATTCGATAAAGAAATGATATAAATCTGAGGATATGATTTTTGAGAACATGAATCCCATGCTGATGATGGATTGAATTGAACTCATACCCACCATAAAAAGATTCGGGTTGATTTGATTACGTGGACATCCTTGCAATTTTCATTAATATTACTTGCTTTTTAAGTATATAATTATACATTCAAACTATTAATTAAGGGTGCGTGTGGTACAGTGTGATATGATTTGAAGATAAAATTAAAACCAAATTATGAAGGCAGATTAAAAAAATTGTTATCCGTAACCAAATCATGATTTGAGTAGTTTCAACATATTCATTGGTTGAAGAATAATTTTAAACAATTATCACACATTTGTATAATATATAACACTAATTTATATCAAATTTCAAATCTCAGATCTCTCTTATATTAATTTTTACTTTGATATTTCATTGAAAAAAAAAAAACATATTAACTATGGTAGGACAGCATGGTTTCGAATGCAGATTATAAATTTCAAATCGCGAATCAAATCAACCCGCGATTAGTGGGCGGATCGGTACAAATTAGGTAGTTTTAGTGGATTGGATCGTATTTTACATGACCCTACTATTAATTATAAACATATATATAAAATTAAGAAT